GGAGAGAGAGAGAGAGAGAGAGCAAAAGAGAGAGAAATTAAAATTTGCTTATTAAATATAACATAAGAAATATTATTATTGCTATTAACTGTGAGAAAAGTCTACGATACATTTTTGTAAAACTAAGTACAGTTGATTCTGTGCTTATCCATTTAAAATAATCTGTCGATTTGTTTGAAATACTTCATCGGTACATAAATAATGTTTTTTTATGAGTATAGTTTAAGATTTAAGAATCTTCAATATTTCAAAACATTGGCATGAGATGTATCGATTAAAACGTGGTAACGAAAACATTACTTGAACTCTGAAGTATATAATTGTCAAAGCGTAAAAGAGAGAGTTTATTCAAAAGGCTATGCAAATTCTTGAACCACTTCGCGTCCTCTTCTATTCTATGGTATAGTTCACAAGAGCTGATGTCGTGCTGCTTTTAGCGCGACAGCATTAAGATTAATAAATTTTTTATAATATTTTTAAGTGGAGTCGGCGCTAGGAGGCGCGAAAATAGAACAAGAGCCATATTATTATGAACAATGCAAAAAGAAAAATACAAAATAAATGTCAAGTTAAACTGACGCCGACACCATTTTTATGTTAAATAATATAATGCTACAACATTACATATTTTTAAGTATACTTATATACACACGCTTTTAATCTGACTGCATTTGAAAGGCATTATTCAATGCGCATATGTTTATTTATAAAGCTATTTGCTGGTAATACGTACCTAAGACATATTTATCATTTATTTTCATTAGATTATATATCAATTTTAACTTTAATTACTCTCTCTCTCTCTCTCAATCTATTAATATTTAGTTAGATTCATTGTGACAACTAGTTCAATGAATGTCGTTTAGTTGCACGGTCTCCTTTTCGCATATAATACTAAAAGGAGGGAAGTATAAAATATTCAGTGACAAAAAGCGACTGAGCACGTCTTTAGGGATACAGAAATTATTGCCGAGGGTGTATGCCGTTGCGTCTGTAGATAAAGGTGATTAAGTTCTCGCAGAATAAATTATGCCGCTTGTGTCTCCTGAGAAAGTTTTTTCCTACATGTTATCACTATCGATGGAGATATGATAACCCTCATAATACCAGAACGCTAATAATGTTAAGAAATGAGGACAAAAAATTCTATCAAAAGCGCATTGAATATTGCCTCTTCAGAATTTGTAATTCAAATTTCTGTTTTTTTTTTCTTTTTCCTTTTTTTTTAACGACGATACAATGTTCCTGGCTCCCATCACTTCAAAGACACTCGTTGTTTTTATATAGTTTTTTTTTTGAATGCCCTACTCTGCGATTATTGGCTGGCTTGGTCGATGATTGGCAAATCACATTCAAAAAATTTCTCGATGTTCGATGTGCAGAATGCAACGGCTTTTATCGGATTTCTTCCCTATGACAATCGTGATGCTCTCTTTTCTGATCAGCCGCAATCGATTGATGTATATGCATTTTTTTTTTTATAATCTTTCACTGCTTCAATATCGCATGGTCCCATAATAAGTAGATGCTCTTATTATTAGCGATACTCGTAGATACTGTTTTGTAGATTGCTATCTTGGACTAATTTTAAATTTTCTTTGCGTGAACAGCGCGCAATCACATTATTATTATGCATTTTCAAGAGATTTATCTTCCTTATATAGCCATGCGATATTAAAGCGTCTTTAGTTTTAAAGCAAATTTCTTTTTCTATTTCATATAATTACGTCTTTTGTATTTTAATATTGGTAATTATTGATCTTAGAACGACGATAACATCGCGTTAAACCCCATCGCCGTTAAGAGCTGTTGATAGAACGCACGTTATCGGTCTCGAGAGACCTCTTACTAAATAAAACTTCTATTTTCATTTTATTTGTTTTATATGATTAATATTTAATGGAGAGTAAAATGAGAGATAAAAGTACGTGTAACGACCGTTATCAAAAAGTTATATATTTATTGTAGAATAATATAAAGTGAATGAATGAGTAATAGTACACACAATGATAGGATTACGATGACGTTCTCACTCGTATAAAGTAAACTTTTAAATTACATCGAGATGTGTGTGTGTGTTGCCATGAAAAAAATATGATAATAATTGCGAATTTAATGAGTCTAAATATATACACTATTTTACGACAAAAATAGAAAATTTCCGTCAATTAATAATAAAATTTAAAAGTATGATAAGAATTTTTACCCGCTATAGTTAAATTACTATAATTCAATTTTCTTCCGCTAAGACATTACGCTATTATACTCATTGTCAGTCAAATATAAATCTCCTTTACCTTCGACTATCACCTCTGCTTTCTTCAGTTCGAAAGTAATTTAGCATTCTAAGAGTAGACTGACGGCGTTCTAAATATAGGCCAGACATCGGAAAACCGTAAATTGGGACGTGCAATTTTTTACATATGAATTTCGCAAACCAATCAGCTTTTCGCTGTCGGAATTACAAATCACTTTTAGATAGATAGAGTTTCCGATAGCGCGATTAGATACATTGCCGTGCGATGTGTCTTTTAATGTTTATTTCTCGGGAAGATAATATTTCTTTCCTGACTTTTTATATACGTAATCAGTTAAATTCATGCTTGACATTCTCTTCTCAGAGAATGATAAAAAAGTGCGTATCAATGCGTTTTCCGTTTTAAATGTTTTCTCGTGGATTGAATTAGGCAGTAACAGCGCGAGGAAAGCGCTTCGTCTGATTACACACTGATAACTTGAAATTTGATTTGAATGAATACAGCATGTTACACGACTGAGTATCGGCAGTGTCTGAGCCCAAAGGGGCAGCTCTACTTGAAGGCCGACAGCGAGGGTAAGCCTGATCTAACCTTTAATTATTACTTCCGCAGGAGCCTTGTCACCTCACGCCATATATATATCACACATACACATTTATCCACAAATATTGTATTATGCTACACATTTTAATCTCATTCCTGTACTTATATATCACCACTACATCACTATATTCTAGAAGCTGCCACTGCTTGCTTGCTCGCTTTACGCGTTTCACTTTTTGGCTAATTCATTAACATATATA